CCCCCGAATGGTACAAGCCGCGGGGCTCCCTTGGGGGGGCTGCCCTGGCCCTCACCCTTGCACTTGGGGTCAAGGCCGCTCAGGGTCATGGCTGCTCGGGGTCAGGGAGGCAAAGCCAAGGGGGCGGGAGGGGAGTGCCCAGGTCGTTGGGTGCAACCTGCTGCCTGAGGCAGGATGGGCCCTACAGGCCGATCTCGCACCTAAACTCTGTGTAAAACTACCGCCAACCCTCATGTGACAGGTCATAACACCCCAACGTGTCGCAGCAAAAGCAGGGGAGCCCGGGCTGCCGGCGTGCTGCTTCTATAAAATATTGTCAGTGCACGCTCAGTAGGGCTTGGGTAGAGGCCCTCGTCCCGCGTTACAGAGGAAGGCAAAACCCCCATGGTCGGTATTACTCTGACTGCGATGTTCCTCCCTGACTCCAAATAACCGGGGTCAGTCCTGTGTGCAGCGGCGGCTCTGGGAATTGGAGAGACTTGCATTAGGTGGCCCAGGCTGCCAGTGCCGTGCCGAGGCACTTAACTTTGCCGATGCTGCTCTTCCTTTCTAGAGAAGCTGTTTTAGCCGAGTCCGGCATGGCCTTCCAGGGGTTTGCACAGTGCCACAGAGGACCTTTGCAGAGCAAGGTAAGTCTTGATGGCTCTGAAATCATTTTTGGGAACTGAAGGAGCATTTCTAGTTTAGTTCTAAAACTAGCGCTCTTTTTGCCCTGTGGGCGGTCAGTGTGTGGAGCATTGTAGGCTGTCACAGTGAAACTGCAGTAAACCAAAGTTACAGAAACAACAGTAACTTAGAAGTGATATTCTTTTTTTCCATAGTTGACGCAGATGTTACAGTCATTGGTTCTGGTCCTGGAGGCTACGTTGCTGCTATCAAAGCAGCTCAACTTGGTTTTAAGGTAAGATGAAAACTTGTACTGGGTGCAAGAGAGAAAACAGCATAATTCAGGTGCTCTGAGAGGGATAATTGCAGGGCCGGAGAACTGAAGCCGTCCTATTGAGTGTTGAGTTCACTAAGACCTACACGTGCATGTAACAGAGAGTCCTGTTCCACAGAGCTTGCAATCTAGGTCACAGGTTAGCAACATATCACCTGCAGGCCAGATATGGCCCACGGGCTTTGCTTGTGCTAATGCCAAGGCTAAGCAGCAAGGAGTTGCACCAGGGCCAGGCAACTTCCAACTGTACTGTTGCTGCTGCTGCTTCCCCCAGCCCCTAGCCTCTCTGCAGCTGCAGCATGGATGCAGCTTCCCCTGATGGGGAACTGTACCGGGGATGGGCAGGTAGAAGCTGCGTCCATGCTGCTGCTGCTGCTGCTTCTCCCTCTTTTCCTCACATCCTGTTACTTCCCAGCTGTGGCACAGAAGTGGCAACAGCAGCATGAGCACATCTTCCAGCTGCTTGGCTCCAGTGCAGTTTCCCACCACCTGGAAGCTGTGCCCATGCCTCAGCCAGGAAGCAGGGGTTAGGAGAAGCATTGGTGGCATAGACACAGCTTTTAGCTGTGTGGTGGCAGTATGGGCACAGGGATAAATTTGCTGCTGCTGATGCACCATAGAAACCACCTGGCCTACACTGGACCAGAGCTAGGTTGTTCTGGCCTGAGGCTTGAGGAGGTTGCCAGCAGCTGATCTAGATAAAGGTTTTCACAAACAAAGGGTTAATGTGGAAACTGACCAGCAAAGGTTAAATGATTTTTTGTACATTGTTCAACCAACCCACTTTTAAATTTGAGTTATGGAATAGATTAAAATCAATAATAAATATAGAAGTGAATAAGGAATACACCAGCTAAGCTTTAAAACCAAAGAAATAGGGTGGCCTGTGAGAGTTTATATGTTTGTAAAAGTAGAAAAGAGAACAGTTTCTTCCAGGAAAACACACTGCAAGGTTCTGGCCAGTAACAGGATCGCAGCTCTGATTTAATTTAATTTTTATTTTTTTTAATCCTGGAGGGCAGTAGTGGCAGACGAGTGTGTTCTAGGTTCCCTCCTTGCTGTCAAGTCTAAATACTGATCTCTAAATGTTCCTTTTGCACCCAGGTTTGCCTCCAAGTGTGGCAGTGAACAAAGTGTCTTGTTTTTTCTGAATGTTAGTGAAGTGCTGCTGAATATTCTTTTATTCTTCCTGTTGTTTGTGGTACAGTTCAGCTGAATAAGAGTCTGTTGTCATTAATGTTTTTCTAGTTCTCTGTATTCCAGTACAAAAGAATTTCTTACTGTTAACTATTTATTTTTCTTGCTGTTCAGCTCGTATTGAGGTCTTGTTTGCTGATATTTCTTGGCCTGAGCCACCAGTGCTTGAATGTGTTTGTCAGTAGAGTTTATCAAGAGCCTTAAGTTATTTGGCACATTAGCACCAAAAGAATGAGAGAGGACTAAATTTCTTCTTGTGGCTGTAGGATTAACAGAAGCAGGCAAACATTTCCCTCAAGATTATTGGTATGCTATTATCATAAACATGATGTTTGAGAAGAGAAAGAGACAACTCAGAGACTTCATTTCTGTCATGGCAGATGAGTGTCTGAGGCAATTAAACTTGTCACACTGTCTGCCTTGGGAGTCAACCACAGAATATATTGCTGCTGGATATATTTGTCTATGTCATGCTGAGCATTGCAGAAACAAGAGGAGGGCCTCTGTCTTTCTTGAGGTAATCTAGTGGAAAACTCCTCTGGGACTTTTATAAAGGGATGGGCTGGAGTTCTTTAAAAGTTAAATCCTCCAAGTCAGGCCTGAATGGATATGGATACATCAGTGTGCATGCCACTTCCATCAGCACAGGCCTTGCCCCCAAATCCCAGTGTGGTGGTTTCACTACACCATTGTTGAAGAAGAAGGTTTTACCCAGGGGTATTGGTTTTCTTTCATATTTGTTGGAGCCTTCTTGAAGTTGGTGATACTGAGAAATGGCTCAGCAGATGGGGTAGGGCTTCCACCCAATTTAGAGGCAGGATGTACTTATAAGGAGTCACAGCTTCTAAAAACAGCCCTCAAAGCCCATATATTACCTTTCCTGAATTCATGTGCTTGAAGCAGGCAGAGGAGGAGATGGGTATCTGGGGTATCAGTGTACTCCCTGTGATATGGTCTGGTCATTCCTAATCCTTTGTGAGGCTGCCGTTAAGCCCATGATGCCAGCCTGAAGTAGTTGTTCTCCTATATCAGCATTGGTATAAATTTGTGGGGTGATTGGAGTGTGTTATTTTTTTTTTTTGCTGTGATGTTTTCAACCCAAGAAGTTCTGTCCTTGGCACTGTCACTTCCTGCATTGGTGCACAGAAACAATGGCTTAGTTATCAGAAGTTCATATAGAAGCATTTGTGGTGCTTGAGGTCTCCATCTTCCCATCCCCTGGGTCATTGCCTAGTGTGTTTGTCATTTGATTTAAGAATCACCTTGAGAATTAAGGATGTGTGATTTGAATGGACTAGTGAAGTCATCTGGTGTCGGATGCTTCTCTGTGTGTGGAGGAGAATTGAGACTGTGATCCTGCAGGGGAGGAATGCTTTCTTTTTTTCCAGTTCTTGCAACAGCTTTCCAGAAAAGCGGCTTCTAACTGTATCTGGTAAAGAAATCTGCAAGGACTACAATTGGGAGGGTCCTTGAGTAGGAGCCCATTCAATAGGATTGTTGTGTTTTCAGGTCCTGTTTTGGCCCAGCCTGTGAAAAATGTACCATTGACTCTTCACATTGAATGCTACAGTGCTGACGAAAGCAGGACCAAAGAACTGTCTTTTAAATGAAGCTGTGATAGATAAGTCCCTTCTTAGGCCCTCCAGCATCCTTTTCAGTATCTGCTTGGGTTTGCTTTTATGCCCAAAACAGAGCAAGGATCAGTTGGCAATTATGCTTATTTAAAACGAATAAAAAAGCAGGATGGACATCAAGGGTCATGTAGTCTAACTGCTGGACATGCTATTCCTATATCACCCCAGACAAATGTTTATCAGCCTCCTTTTGAAAATCAATGAAGACGATTCTAAAACTAGTTTTTCTTGCATTCAGCTTCAGCAGCTGTGCACAAACATGCTGAAGAGTGGGATTGGAGCAGGTGGACAGGGTATGCTTAGGGGCATCTCAGTGGCGACATGCAGCAGCAGCATAGATGTGCCTTAAGAGTGTGGTCTGGATATAAAATAATTTTCTCTTCTCATCCAGGCTGTCTGTGTAGAGAAAAATGAAACCCTGGGTGGAACTTGTCTGAATGTTGGATGCATTCCTTCCAAGGTAAGTGTACATCTGTCTGTTTTTGGCTCATTTTCATTGTTGGTTGGGGAGTGAGAAGAGACCAGGAATAGATTCTCAAGTAGTATAAATTGCCATAACTCCTGCAACTAAAGGAGTGATCTTGGTCTGCGTTTCTTCCATGAACAAAATGGTACATTAAGGAGTTATTCCATTTAAATACTTCTGTGAATGACCATAGTGTATATTAACCTTTTCATCCTAACAAGTATGTGCTATCCTGGGCTTTCCACATTTACAGAAAACTGTATTCACCTTCTTGTGAAATACTTGCTTTTTTAAGCCATTGCCTTTCAGCTAGTAACACTGCCACATTAATAACTCATGGTTCCCATTGGGATCCTTTTCTACGCTTGTGCAACTGCAGCCTTGTGGGCCCCTAGAATGCCACTAGTTTCCAGAAAAGCTAGACTCCTTCTCTCATCAGAATTATTCTTTTCCTAGCCCCACTGACTTTAAAATTGCCTTCGGGTTTTATTTTTGGTGGAACATAAACCTGGGTCCTAATCACTTTTTGTATTCCTGCTTTTCATTTTGGTGTTTTTGCCAAATTTCCTTTTTGAGAAGTAATATTATACTTGGATACATCTCTGTCCTTCCCCCCCATACTGTTTTGCAGTCTTTACTCCTGTGCCATTGTTAAAATTAATCCCTGTGTAGAGTATTCCTTGTGGTTTAATTTTGATAAAGTATTTTGGAATCGTCCAGAATGAAAGGCAGTAGAAGAAGGACATAAATGTTGTAAGGTATAGGTTCTAAGTGGTTGGTAAAACATTGACAACTTTAAGATTGTCACCTTCTTCTTCCACTTAATGGAATGGGGTAAGGTTTGTGAGAGAGGAATTTCTATGGCATCCTGGAGTGCCTTGAGATCCAGCACACAATGCACCTTCTCCAACTGCCAGCACACCCAGCTGTCCTCCTGCCGCCTGTTTGTACTACCCCAGGGTCAAGCTAGCCTGTTCCCAGGTGGTCCCAGGCATCAGGAAGGTAGCAGGGACAGTGTATGAGGTGCTGGAAGCCTCAGTGGAAAAAAACAAAAAAGCAGCGAGGGACCTGCTTTTTTTTCCCTCTTTCTGGTGGAGCCTGCCCACCTCTCCTGCAGCCAGGGGGTGAGCTGCTGGCAGTGTTTGAGTTGTGGGGGACCCAGTCCTTCCCTCTGCGGTGGTGGTGATCCTCCGGAGCTGCCCGGATGGGGTGCTAGTGGTCTGGGGGCTGCCCCAGCTTGGAACCAGCATCCAGGTTGCTAGCACTCCACCTGGGTGGCCCCGGCAGGTGCTGCCACCGTGGACGGAAAGACCAAGCCCCCGCAGCTTCGGAGGCCACTTGGCCCACTGGCAGCTCCCCCCCTCCCCAGCTGCAAGCAGGTTCCACTGGGGGTGGGTGGGAAGCAAGCTGCCAGCAGTGTCTGAGCTGGGAGGGGGATGGGGATGTGGTCCTTCCCTCCATGGCACTTATGTCCCCCGGGGCTGCCCAGGCAGGGTGCTAGCAGGCCAGGTGCTTACTCCGAGCACCTTGGGGCCATGTGGCAGCTCACTCCCTGGCTGTAGGCAGGCTCTGACGGAAAAAAACAAAAAAGGATCGGGCCCCTCACCATAACAGTGACAGAGACTCTAAATTGAAACGGTGGGTTTTTAATTCTCGCAATTAAAAAACCACTAATTAAACCCGCTGTTTCAGTTTAGGGAGAAGTAAACTCCACTCATGTGTACAAGTGGCCTTCGAGTAGAAATGCAGTAAAAACATGCTGTTTACATTCTGTATGTCAGACTGGTAGTAATGATGAATTATACTGGAAAGCCAGAATTAAAATATATTGTTGCTGATACTGGAATGAACAGAAATCTTGGCCTTTTGGGTCTCTTAATATAAGTTCTCATTCATGCTTTATTTTTTGTGTGTCATAGGCTTTGCTGAACAACTCGCATCTGTATCATTTGGCCCACGGAAAGGATTTTGCTAGTAGAGGAATTGAAGGTGAGTATACAGCACAGACTGGTAGCCTTCTAAATATAAGTGGTCTCTTGCAACATGTGTAAATATAAATCTTTGCTTGTTTTACAACTTCCTTGGAAGAGTGGTAGGAAAACTTAGGTAGCATACATGCTGTTTTGTAAGTACTAGGTTAATTGGGAGGTTAAAAGTTGTGTTTCTCTTTCTTTGAACTAGCATCTGGGATAACCATGGCAGAGTGCAATTTGTAACTGCAGCAACATGGAACTGGCCTGCAGTCATGTAGGATAACATATATAATTTTTCGCACATTAAATGTAGTGTGGCTGTTCAGCATCCCTTACTGCAGTACAAAGAAGTATTATTAATTTTCATATCACTTTAGGGAGCTGTATAAAGATACTGAAATATAAGGAAAGCTAAAAATCTGAAAATTACAGTTACAGGACTCCGCTTGAATTTAGAGAAGATGATGGAGCAGAAGAGTGGTGCAGTGAAGGCCTTAACAGGTGGAATTGCCCATTTATTTAAACAGAATAAGGTTAGTTTGGGTCTGTGCAAAAACACCTATTATATTTTTGTTCCAGTGATGGAGTTTGAACACTTAACTAGCAGCGTGGCTATATAGCTGTCAGATATGATGCCAGATTTTCCTGTACCCCACCCCTCCCCCTAGCTGAGCAGAAGCTAACATCTCTGCCTGCACTCCTTACTGTGGGGTCTGAGCTGGGTGGGGGTGAGGAGGGGACAGGACAGCTCAGCAGGTACTACATGCCACTTGAGCTGGAAAGAGGAAGGGGTCAGCCAGTCTACAGGCTTTATAAGGACTACAGGCTGGTGCTAGAGGGTGATACTCAAGGGTGCACTTTGATATTGCCCTCCAGTAGGAGCAGGAGGGGATTATTGTATTACTTGCTATAACTTTAAATTGAATAATGTTTTTTTTCCAGGGGGGGGTACAGGGGGAGGAGTGGATGAGTGTGTTTTAGGGACAGCCATAGCTCCCCTGTGAGAGGTGGAGTTAAGGACTTGGGAGGCACATTACCCAGGGGAGTCCTCCTCCTCCCTTGAGGCAGGGAAGTGGAAGTGGGTGTTGTTGGAGAGAACATGGGAAGAAAATGTGCATCTTATATGGCAGTAGTGAATGTGGGTTGGGATGTGAGGTTGGGTTAGCAGCAGAGCAAGGTGGGGAGGAGTGCTTTTGGATGTTGTGAGTTTGATTTGTGTGCTTGTGTGTGTGTGTGTGTGTGTGTGTGTGTGTGTGTGTGTGTGTATTATGCATACATATATTATACATACAAATATGGGAAGCTGTGGCTGTCCCCAAGCCCACTCTTATATAATAAGAACTACACACACACATATACAAAAATAAAATTTATGCATATAAATATATATTAAAAATGTATTTTTGTAATATATTGTCTTTCATTGTAATCTTGTAAGCTGTCCTTCATTGGGGAAGGATGGCATGTCAGTTGAATATAGAATCATAGGGCGTGTGTAGACGAAATGGGGGCCCTAAATTGAAGCGGTGGGTTTTTAAAAACACTGCTTTAATTTTGGGCCCTTAAAACCCCCACCCTGCACACATGCCACTGATTTACCTGTCTCTCTGGCAGGGAGGGGAGGGTGAGCTGCTGGTGGGCAGAGCTGTGCCTGGGTTGTGGGGCAGGCTGGTGCTTCTGTCCATGGCAGCGGCAGCACCCACCTGCAGGCATCTGACTCGGGGAGTTCCGGGGGGGGCACCTCCGTCACGGAGGGAAGCACTGGGCCTCTGTGCAGCTCAGGCAGGCAGGCAGGCTCCAGGGGGAAAAAAACAAGATCAAGCTCACCCCTTTTCTTGGGCAGAGCCTGCCTTCCCAGGCTGCTGGCAGGTTGCCTGCAGGGCTTCCTGCAGAGCCCCTGAGCTGCACGGAGCCCAGTGCTTTGCCCCACGGCTGTAGGGACAGCAAACTAAAACTCCTTGGAGTTTAGCTTGCTGTGCCCCAAGTCATTTAAGGTGCATTACACCACTGAATTTGCTACAGTGGCTCTAGTTAATGCGCAATACGCTGCCAATATGTGCAAACACTGACACCATTAAAGTGGTGCAAAAGCATTTAGCCTGCTTTAAAGTGTCGTGCACACATGCCTCTTGTTTCTTCTACACACACCATAGACGATTAGGGTTGGAAGAGACCTCAGGAGGTCATTTAGTCCAGCTCCCTGCTCAAAGCAAGACCATTCCCAACTAGATCATCCCAGGCAAGGCTTTGTTTTTAAAAGGTCTTAAAAACCTCCAAGGATGGAGATTCCACAGTCTCTCTGGGTAGCTTGTTCCAGTGTTTTACTACCCTTCTAGTGAGAAAATACTTCCTAATATCTAACCTAAACATCCCTTGCTGCAACTTGAGACCATTGTTCCTTGTTCTGTCATCTGTCACCACTGAGAACAGTCTAGCTCTGTCCTTTTTCACCACCCCCCACCCCCCAGCTTCAGGTAGTTGAAGGCTGCTATTAAATCTCTCAGTCTTCTCTTCTCCAGACTAAATAAGCCTAGTTCTCTAAGCCTCTCCTCATAAGCCATGTTCCTCAGCCATTTTTGCTGCCCTCTGCTGGGCTCTCTTCAATTTGTCCACACCCTTTCTGTAGTGGAGGACCCAAAACTAGATACAGTAGTTCAGATGTGGCCTTACCAATGCCAAATAGAGGGGAATCATCACTTCCCTTGATCTGCTAGCCACACTTCCACTAATGCAGCTCAGTATGCTGTTAGCCGCTTTTGCAACTTGACTTATATTTGGCTTATCGTCTAATGTAACTCCCAGGTCCTTTTCAGCAGAGTTGCTGCTTCACCAGTCAGTCCCCAGTCTATACCTGTGATGGGATTGTTCGGTCCTAAGTGCAAGACTTTGCACTTGCCTTATGAACTTCATGCGATTTGTTTTGGTCCAGTCCTCCAATTCATCTAGGTCTCTCTGAATCCTGTCCATGCCATCCAGCGTATCTAGTACCCCACCTAGCTTGGTGTCTTCTGCAGACTTGCTGAGGATGCATTCCATTCCATCTTCCAGATAGTTAATATAGATAGTAAACAAAGTTGGTCCCAGGACCAACCTCTGGGGCACTCCCACTTGATCCTGACTGCCAACTAGACATTGAGCCATTGATTACTACCCTTTGAGTCCAATGATCCAGCTAGTTTTCTCTCCACCTTAGTCCATTCATCCAACCACATTACTATAGTTCCTTAACTTGCTCATGAGAATGTTGTGGGAGACGGTATCAAAAGCCTTGCTAAAATCAAGGTATATCACGTGCACTGCTTTCCCACATCCACCGAGCCAGTCATCTTGTCATAGAAGGCAATCAGATTGGCCAAGCATGACTTGCCCTTGGTGAACCTTTGCTGACTGTTCCTAATCACCTTCTCCTCCAAGTGCTTAGAAAAGGATTTCTCCATGCTTTTTTCCAGGGACTGAGGTGAGCCTGACCTTACCTCACTTTTTCAATTTGTAACACAGTGGTGTCAAGTTAACCTTTGTTAGTGGAGAATGAATGCATGCTTCCCTAGAGATTGAATGAGATCCTGATTTACATCATGTTTACTCTCTTCTCATTTATAAAGGTTGTTCATGTATCTGGGTTTGGAAAAATAACTGGCAAAAACCAAGTCACAGCAACCAAAGAAGATGGCAGCACTCAACTTATCAATACAAAGAACATCCTTATAGCCACAGGTTCAGAAGTTGCTCCCTTTCCTGGAATTATGGTACATACATGAAAACTTTTTATTGGCATTGTATCTTTCATTATTGTCTTATTATTGGTAATTTTCACCAAGAAGTATTTTCATATAGCTTTTCAGCTCTTGTTGTGGGACAGCTGTTCAGATAGAAAAGCTTGTAAACGTCTCTTCTTCTCTTATTTGTTAGATTGATGAAGACACTATTGTATCATCTACTGGTGCGCTGTCTCTAAAGCAAGTTCCTGAAAAGATGGTTGTCATTGGTGCAGGAGTCATTGGCGTAGAATTGGTGAGAGGCTTTTTTTTTTTTTTTTAATACAACTTAGCCTTCCTGTATACAGAGAAGTAGGATGTTGCCATTTGACCATGAAGGATCTGGAACTACATACTTTAACCTGTAGGCTGTGGTAGTATTTAATCAGACAAGATGGCTGAGGGATTTTTTTTTTTTTTTTTTAATTCCCTGGTTCTGATCTCTATCCCAGGTTATCCTAAAATTATGGTCTGATGACTCCAATTCCCAAACATTTTGAACTGTTGACCACCGTTGGTTCTCAAAATTCCTGACAGAACACCATATGCTCTTATCCTCAAACATTTCTTTGAAGGAAGGGGGCCTGGGTGCTCTTATGGACCAGACCAATTACTGTGACTTCGCTGGCCACAGTTTGCTCTATATAAAAACCGGGCTGTAGTTCATTTCTTGATGGATATGTGTTTGTCATTATAACTACTGTGACCTGGCAGTCTTAGCAGAGAAGGGATGGATTGGATGAGTGTAAAGAGTGGGGTTGTCAGTATGGCCTGCTGAGCCACTAGATTCAGCTTGCAGAGTCTGAGGGCTTTGCCAGTGCCCACTCTGGATCTAAGCATCAGGACTGGGCAGCTTCTAGCTGCATCCTTGCCACTGCTGCTTCTTCCCCATAGCCTCTCCCTGGCTACATGCACATTGGTGCTGCTTCCATCCCTGTCCCAGCTGCAATACAGAAGCAGCAGCAGGATGGACACAATTTCCAGCTGTCTGTCCCCAGTGCAGTTTCCCACCAGCTGGCAGCTGTGTCCATGCCTGGGCAGGTGAATGGGGTCTGAGAGAAGTAGCAGCATTGTGGGTGCAGCTCAAAGCTTTCAGCTGCCTCATGCCAGCACTGGTGCAGGGAAAGCATGGAAAGCCCCCCTGCCACTTATGTGCTGAGGAAGCCACCCAACTTGTCCTGAACCAGAGCCAGCTTGAAAAGGTTGCCAGCTCTACTCTAGAGGCCCTCTTATTTGGATGTGGGAAGGTGCACTGCCATTGCTATACTGTATCTTCTTTGCACATGAATGGGAAGCTGTATTCTTCATGGGTCATGTTTTTGCATCTTTTACATATGCTAAATATTCACTTATGCATCTAGCCATATTAAGATTTCCTGATATTAGCCAACCCATAGTTAATAATCAGTGGCAAAGTATGCAGGCCAACTAAGTTTCCATCTCCTCCATATATCTCATATATAAAAACAGGTTAATTGGTCTTGGAAAGCTGTTGTGAAAATTTACCAGTTCAGGTACAAAATTGATGATCATAATGGAGAAGTACCATATTTACCTCTCCTTTCAAGTTGGAGGGTAGATAACTTGTAAGGCTGATATTCATAGTTATAGTTGTTGTCTTTGTATTTTCTTATCCACTTCTAGGGCAATGATTTGACAGTCAGTTCTCTTAAATATAGTTAAAGCAGTTTGGCATTATTTTGACTTTGCAGCCCTGGTGAGGTCTGTGGGTCATACAGCCCCTCATTGGTGTGGCCCATGAGGCATGTAGCCTCTGGCTGCTTGGAAGTTGGACAGCCCTGTCCTAGTGTAATAGAAATAAGATTTTTTGTCTGAAGATCTATAGGTGCTTTTCTGTGTTTCTATCATGATTGTGACTATAAGCCCCAATGAGGATATTGGTATGGTAGAGTACCCCTTTCTGAAAGAACTTAAAAACCAAGCAGTAAATAATAAAGCCTGGAAGCTTACAGGTTTTCTTTAAAATATGTTTTTAATGTGTTGACTGAAGGGTTCCGTGTGGCAGCGTCTTGGTGCAGAAGTGACAGCTGTTGAGTTCTTGGGCCACGTTGGTGGAATGGGGATCGATATGGAGATATCTAAAAACTTTCAGCGTATTCTTCAAAAACAAGGACTTAAGTTTAAACTGAATACCAAAGTTACTGGTGCTACCAAGAAGCCAGATGGAAAGATAGATGTTTTGTAAGTGTTTAACATGTGAAATATAAACATGATGTGAATCGCCTCTGGAAAGCCACTTAATTACAGATTTACATGTTGTGTATAATTAGAACTACAGACTAATCACAGTGGGACTTGAAGTCCCAAAATGAATTAACTTCAAAGTTAGACCTGAAACAGCAGCCTTGCTTTGTTCAGTGCTGCAAGGCATATGCATGGGATATAAAACTGCAGTTGCTGGGAACCTGTATACCAGGTTTTGCAGCTGCATGGAAACACATGTATGAGCTGCGGTAGAGTTTGTTGATTTCGGATAGGCCTCCTCGACCATCTTCAGATACACAGATAAGACAATCATGGAAGGCAATCATCCTCAACTGTGAGGGACTGCCGAAGGAGGGTAGGGAGGTTTGAGCACTACAGAGAGCTAGGTAATACATCCCATAGTAAATTTTCATAGCTAAGAAACAACTACGAAGGAGGTTTCTAACAGAGTGGCTGATACAGAAACATACAAAAGAGATGATGCCTCATGGGAAGCCCCACATGCACATGCTTTACAAATACATTCTTATTAGATTATTAAGCGAGAGGCAAGGATTTCTTAGGGTGATATTTTTTTAGTTTAACCAACTGCATAGTTGGAATAGAGTTAGACATGCTTTCAATGGAAGGAATTCTTCACATCTGAAGAAAAAGTAGTCAGACTTGTAGAAATTAAATTTCTTACTCCTCAGACCTGAAGAATGCCTGTATCCCAACTATGCAGTTGGTCCAGTAAAAGTTATCACACTAAGAAATCCTTGCCGCTTGCATAATTTTTGGACCATCAGCTCACTCTAACACTACTAGAATATTTGTGTATGAAGTAAGCTTTTTAATTTCTTCAAAACTCATAAATTCTTTGTCCCTTGTTGGAAATCAGATTCTTGTATGATAATTCACCTTTGACTACACAATTCTCCAGTGCAAGCACCAAAGATTTTGTAAACAGACAGCTATAAGGAGAAAACAATTCTTTTGAATTTTTTTAATGAACAGACAAACGGTTGCAGTGTGTCCAGTAAACCAGTATCAAAGTAGTAATGGTGCTTTTTATTATTAAATGCAATTACCATGTTCAAATATCGAAATCGACGCCGGCCACATCCTGAGTTCAGAGGAGATAAAAATGTCATTTCTTTTCTGGTTATGTTGTAGCTGGAGACTACAGAGGCATTTGGGTATTGTGAGGTTGGGAGCAGGTTAAGGCCCTAATAAAATTGTGTAAACTTGGTGCTGGATAGGTTTCTGCTGGAGGCAAGCTTATCAAATAACTTTATCCTGTTCTCTGCAGTGTGGGATATCTAAACAGCCGTCTTTAAATGGGAATTTATTTGAAGCATTTACATGATGAAATCTAACTTTGGAGGTGTAAGTGCTCTGGCCATAACTATAAAATGTTTAGAGATTAAAATGTTAGGTGTGGGATAAAATATTATTTAACTGTCTATTTTAGCCTAATTTCCAATCATAACGTGACCCTGCACTGCAAGTCACCCAACCCCTCACCTTCCCCACCCCACAGCTTTTTTTTTTTTTTTTTTTTGCTCAGGTTTTAAAGACTTGCTGGCTAAGGAAAATTATAACAATTATTCAGTCACATCTTATGGCTAATTATCAGGGATCCTGGTTTTCCCTGATAAAAAAAATAACGAATTCTCTGGTAAACCC